ATATTGCATTTCTGTAGAACAATGATTCGCACCCTTTTGAAATTTCCACTACTATACTGTAAAGCTTCTAGGACATTCACTATAGAACCGGGTCATTGTTGCCGCCAGGGAGTGAAGAGGAAAAAATTTATTTCGCTTTGCGAATAACCGTGCTATGAAATGCCGCACAACTGGAGAATTTCAAGAACGGATATAACACTTTCCTTAGGTTATTTAAAGCGGCAAATGACCACCAAACCTTAATCTTAGCAGACAAATGTGCCAATGAAAATCGTTAAACGTGAATTGTTGGTGAAAATGTTGGACCAAAAAGTTTCAATAAAATATATAAAAATTTTGGGCGGGACGAAGTTCGCCGGGTCTGCTAGTATGATATAATGTAATATGTTTGCATTAAGTTTTCAAGACATTCCTCATCTACTAAAGATGGCAATGCAAAAAATAATTATCCAAAAATAAAGAACAATTCGTAAGTTTTACAATAATAGTAAGTTATTAGAAAAACACATTTATGGTGAGAAGTTATAAGCGTTTAAAAAAGTGCTTATTGGATGTCCCAGCCGTCACAGCAAATGTGCATTTTTTAACGTAACATACAAATTCTCAAGTTTCCCATTTTTTAAATGAGGCCCCCCTTTATTAAAATATAATAAATATACACATGAAATCAGCAGTGTTCATTTTACTAACGATACTATGTGTCCTCAAAGGTAACTGGTACCACCCGTCACGAGCAAAAATAAGTTTTTTTTTAATTTTAAGATTTAAATGTATAAAGCTAAAATGGTACTACATTCTCTAACTACATTCGAGAAAGCTGGTTGGAAAATGTGTAATTTCTGTGAAAGTTATATAATTAAATTTTATACATTATCAGTTTTGTATTAAACTGATATCTGACTTCAAGTGCTAAAAGTTTAATACTTGACAAATCAATGATTAAAGAGAATTTACTAAAAGTTTTAGCAAAAATGAGTTAAAATGCCCCACTCGTCACTTTGGAATGCCCCATATGTAACTTGAATGAGCTCTTAATAATAACAAGTACTAGTAAATTCACATGGCGTAAACATTCAAAAACTAAAAAAAAATTCAGTTTTAGGCGATCAGTGTGCCAAATAGCTGTTCGAAAAGGTGGCAACTCTAATCAAAATTATTTTCTACCTAAAGCCTTCCGAAATCTTTTTACTTGAACTCATATTTTAATACTTCATATAACTTGTTAACTAAATTTTAAAACATGTAGCAATCCTCTTCAAATGATTCAATCTAAAATCTTCTTTAATGTCTTTCATTTGACGTTCTGATACATATTTGAATTAAATGATGATGATGATGATTTTTTAAACATGTGGCAACCCCCTGAAATTAGTACAAAAAATAAAGCCTTATAAAATTAATTCCCATATTTAAATAATTCATATACCATTTCAACAAATTTGAATTTGACATTTTAAACAGGTGGAAACGCTCTTGATAAATCGCAAAAACATTTTAAATGTTCAAGCTAAAGATCGCTTAACACTCCTTTGTAAGTAACCCATATTATATTTTTTTTTGCAAACTAAAACCTGCTTAAATTTCTTTGACCCGACACCGCGCGCGACCGGCGCACACCACGTCACGCTACGCCGCGGCCCCCTGGCCCCCCCTTTCCGCCGTGCTGTAACGCAGGTAGATTTATTTTTTGTATATGTTGAAATAAAATTTTTATATATTTTAAACATCGAGGGCTTATATTCAATAATACCCTCTATCTGCACACTTTTCACAAANAACCTGCTTAAATTTCTTTGACCCGACACCGCGCGCGACCGGCGCACACCACGTCACGCTACGCCGCGGCCCCGCGGGTATTATTGAACTCCAGCCCTCGATATTTCACATTTTTTATATTTGTAAGTTATTAGAAGCAGGGATGCCAACTTGGCTCAANCAGCCCTCGATATTTCACATTTTTTATATTTGTAAGTTATTAGAAGCAGCAAATGGCACTTAATTTTTCAATTTGGCCAAAATGGCACTTTTGTAAAAAAAAAAAATACATTTCAATACATTTTTGTGAAATCCTTTGCNTTTAAAAATCACAAATTAGTTTTTGTGCAAATTGCAGATAGAGGGTATTAATGAACTCCAGCCCTCGATATTTCACATTTTTTATATTTGTAAGTTATTAGAAGCAGGGATGCCAACTTGGCTCAAACCGTGCCATTTGTCCCTATTTTACTTCAAATGGCACTTAATTTTTCAATTTGGCCAAAATGGCACTTTTGTAGAAAAAGTTACATTTCAATACATTTTTGTGAAATCCTTTGCGTGCACTTCTTTTTCTCAACTAAAATTTTCTAATTTATAAAGGCTTTTCAACTGGTTTATCTTATTTTATCATTGCACTTTTGTTTTGAAAATGTGGCTTTATTTTATTGCTAAATAAGAATGATTAAAATGAATTACACCTTTTTTGGCACTTTTATTTTTCTATTTGGCACATTTTGGCACTTTTTTATCCTCAATATGGCACCTCATAACTAAGGATAGTTGGCAGCCCTGATTGGAAGATTTCTGCTGTGTTTTGGGGCAACAACTTGTCTGCAGTAAAAAAGCATATAATTTGTGTTTCAAAAGTGTGTGAAAACCAATCAATTAACTTATATGATCTCGGTTCCGATATTAAATAATCAATAATTGTTTATACCCGCATTTTGGCATATTGGCTCGTTGAATGTGCCATCTAATAAATAGTGTCGTCATTCTCCTTAGCTGCTTTTAAATGATGTCACAAATTGCTGGCGGAGACATGAATACAGTGTAAGAAAATTCTTTTTCTATAATTGTTTCCTTATAGAAAAGTTGGTTTCTTTTCCACCTTAGACATTCCGAATTCGTTCAAAATATGCTAATTTAAAACACAGAATTCTTTCAGTGTTCCTCCGGGGTTTTTGGACATGGACTGTTTCTTCAATTTAATAGTGTTCGCTTTATTTTTGTGGAAACGAAACATTTTTTGCAAGTAATGGATCATTTCGACACTCTTTCTTCAAATATTTCTCGTATTCCAGCTGTGCGCAGGCGTTTAGTTTTTCGCATCGTTTTTTACATATTCGTAATTTAAATTTTTTCAATAAAATCAATTGGTGTTAGTTCATGAATGTGTGTGGATTAATATCACAACACTGAGGATTTGGCAATAACCTTTTTCAGCTATTAAAAAACAACACTTACGGAGAAATGTTTATTGTAAGAACAACATTTTTTTCTATGAATCGATATACTTTAAGCATTGTTGACGCTATTTCCATTTGAATGAGGAAATAGGGTCAATGACTTTATTTCCAAAATTTTTGTTGATTTTATTTCGCTTTTGAAAAGGTAATACCTAGCCGTGTTTTATTTGTCCAGAAATTTAAGCTATTAGCTTATTTTGTATGGAGGACTTACCCAACATAATTATATTGGCTTATGAAAAGCTATCTTGGCTTGTATATTGAACAAGAGGCACTGCCATTCAGCATCAGAAATTTTCTCCTTCAGGCAATCAGAAAGAGGCAAAAACTTACTTTGACACTATTTGCAGTCAAATAACTGTAAAAATTAGGCTAACATAGGAAATAAGCTAATTTCGTTTTATTTGACCAAGATTTAGCTATTTGCTTGTGATGGTTGAATAAAACATGCCTATTGTAAATTGACTTTATTTCGCACCAGGGTGGGAAGTAAAGTCAATTGACCTTATTTCCGTTGATCTTGTTACCTGTCAACTTTAATTTTATACCTCATTTTTGAAAATCGAACGAACGGTGCAGATCTGATGGCCTGGAAAAAAATCCATTCGCGTATTAAATATATAGATTATACCTTTAAGTATGGCGGATATGGCTCCGACACAGCCCCAAGGTCAAGACTAAGGCGCTGGTCATCCTTTTTAGGATTATCCGATCCTTAGAAACTACCACCTTGGCCCTAGGGTTGCCAACCGTACTATAATGTATAGTATTGTACTGTTTTTTTGGTCTGCGTACTATATACTGTTGAAAAAAAATGAAGTACGTTATAAATATAAATAAATTTCAGTAATACACATCACGAATAAAGGGTCACATACGCCTTCTCATAACGCTGGACTATGTTCTCCTTCCAGCTCAGTTTTCTGTCGCGAATTGCGCCTTAGAGCTTTGCTTTATTCTTAAAGTTTAAGAACCGTCCGTATTCGGACTCAGTAACGGTGTTTTGTATCTTCTCGCAAAGAGAACAAGTTTCACTTTCTCCGAATTGACGCAGAGGCCACAACGCATCGCGACCATCTTGATACATCGCGAAGTGCCTTTTGCATATTCACCCCTATTCTGGTTGTCGTAAGTCATTCGCATCGACAGTCGTTCATTGAATTATGTCGTAAACAAAAACATTAACGACAGATTTTAATACGTTTTCAATACTTCTTCATTTCGAAGGGATAATAGGAATAAAAATTTGTAGTAAATTATGTCATTGGTTGCCTCATAATGCCAATGAAAATCTCAAATTTCGACTAACGACGGTCGTTCCAAAAATCGGGATAGGGGCGATTGTTACATTGTTTAATGTCTCCAAAACCACGAGAAGCACACAATTCATTTTCTTTAGAGGAAAGTAGGAATCAAACTAATACCAGGCGTTCAATGTTTAAGTACTCAACAAAGTTAGTCCATTTATTTCTCTTGACATCAATACTACTACATACAAATATAATCACAATACATAATTTAAAAAAAATTTTCTGCACTAAATATACATATGTAAGTAAATACGAGTACATCTTAAGAGTGCACAAAAGTATAGATTTTAGCTTCACCATTTATGGCTTATGCATAAATTTGGCTCACTAAATCAGTCAGCACTTGTGCGATTTTGCGTGTAGTTGAAATTATTGAAAAACGTGTGGTTAGTAAAACTTAAAACAGTTTCAATGCTGAGCTCGAATATTTTCCGCTAGCTCCCATAATACCAAGATGTCGTTTAACTGATTGGCTTGAAGCGGATTGCCTCCGCATAGTCACGCGCGTCTGAGAAGTTACGCTCTGGTTTGATGCGTATATCATTGGGATCGAGCTGAAATTCACCATTCCATTGTGTGGGCAGCACTGTGGGTTCCCTATTATATTGAAAGTATTCAGAGTCATCGGAGTGGTTGCGTTCGGGTTGAATACGTGTCTCGCCACTCTTTGCAAATGTACCATCCCAACTGACCGGCAGGATAATCGGCT